GGAAAGCGATCGGAGCGCAATGCAGTTTTGTTCGCGCGCGAACATTGTTTGATTCGGTGATGAAATTTGTCTCGCCTTTATCGAACGAACAAAGCACAAAATGTGACGGCAACGGCAGTGGCGGCCGGGTCGACTACGAAGTGCAAACTATCGGGGGATACTGATCTCCATTGTTGTAACTATATAACGCACGACGTCTGGTTAACGATATTGACCCTCTTGCGAAACATTTGTTTTAGAGCGCAACGAACGCGCCCCAATAAAACAACCGACCCAACTAACGATTTAATCGTGCTTAAACTCGAAAGTGTGTGCGTTCGTAAAATGTATTTTAGATAAATTTCGCGCGAACGATTGAGAATACACGGAAAAAATGCACGAAAGTTTCGAATGTCTGTAAAAATATCCGCCTGAAACAATACCAGCTATGTTTTTTGAGATGCAAATAAGAGTCAAGTCGAGAGCGAAAAGTCTTCTCAGAAGCATTAATTATTCGTGATTTAATTTCTTAACATGATAATTTTTTCGGTGTTTTAACATATTTTCCCCTATGAATTTTCACAAGACGCGTCAGTAATCCTATGTAAACCGTTTTCTTTAGGAAAATAATAAAAAAAAAAAGTGCGCTGATACAAAAGCCACTTACAAAGCATCTCACAAAGATCTTTCCTCCTTCAATATTCCCTGTTTTTCTTCAGGAGAACAATCCTGTATCAATTTTTTTGAGCTGCTGATCCTAATAATAAATGTTAACAGCAAAATTTTTAATATTTTATTCTCAGCAAAGTTTCTTCATAAGTATAAATTATATAAACAGCTTTTAGCATACATGAATAAAGAGAAATTTTGAGAAAAAAAATAAAATAATATTAGTATTATTTTACCATGGGTAAAATAGTGATTTCTCCATTAAATAAAGTCAGTGCTGCAAACAAGTGAGACGTATACAATAAAATCGTTGCTGCTATATCGTTGCTTTTACAAAGTTTCGGTGAGTATACTTGAAATATTTATACATTGTTGCTGGAAAAAAAAAAAAAACGAACGCAGTGTAACTGACTAATAATTCACTCTGGACTTTCTCTCGCGCGCGATAAATTCGTTAACGTACACAACGCGCCGACGTATTAACAACGCCGAGCTTTTTTGAGAGGTATGCGTATAATGCTGCACATTTCGTCGGACGTGTGTCGATGGTATAACTAACGAGCTCCGGATTTTGGCCGTATGACCATTGACCGGACCGCCGTAAAAATTCGCCCGGTCCGATATCTAGGAAAAAAACTTCGGAACATTTTCACGAAACAAACATGCACTACGCGGATCGCCATGAAAAATTTATGACGGCCTATCGAACGCATAAATTGCACGGCTAATTATTCTGAATTTGTTATAAGAGATAAAGCTTGAAGAAGATAATATCCGGCTGATTAAAAACGCCTAATTAAAATATTAATTTATTCGCGGAATTTAATTATTGATATATTCTTCGTTGCGGAAACTGTTTATGGAGGCAAGCAAGTATTTTCACTATCGATTCGAAACGATTTATAATTAACTTTTTTTCACGATGCAGGTGAAAAAAAAATCTCATGCGCGTGCAAGGAAGTTTCTTTAATATTAATCTTAGTCAACTTTCGTATCATCATTTAGGTAGTAGTAAGAATACTTTTTATATATTTTTGTTGCCTAATTTTTTTTTTGCACAACATTATTTAACACGACGTCAAAACTGGTATAACGCTTGCTTTATATAGGCCAACCATCGATTCGACAACAAATTATTTACGCTCTATACTTCGTACCCTCACATTCGCTTTCCTATATTCGTTATATAGTTAAAAAAAATATATATGTATATAACAAATAAACAAATGATTTATTTAATCATTTTGAGAGAAAATATAAGTCATTACCGAACAATTATCGAAATGAAAAATGTATTAAAAAAGTAAAGTGAAAGAGTGATAATCAATATACGAGAAACATTCTAATAGTAATACTGATAAAAAGAGTAATAAAATAAATAAAAATAGTAATAAAAATAGCCATGAAGAGCAATGAAATTCTCACCGCTTTATTTTTACCGTTATTACTAATTTAAGTTATCTATAGAATTTAAGTGTAGAATTTAAGGGACACGAAGGACACAAGATTGCCATTTTACTATCACCGCATTCACCGGTACTCGTGGTTATCTATGCATAGATGCGGAGATGATATCGCCGAGGGGATTAATTTATGAACGGCATGGCTCCATCACGTGTGTATACTCGGTGATGTTGACGGCGATAAATTCAGCCGCACGCGTGCGGCCAATTTTCGATCGACGGATTCGGGTTTGCTTCAATCTCACCCTCGGATTCGGAGGGAAGAAAGTCGGCCCCGTTTAATTAACGCGCGCGCGCGGGGGGCATCACGTCGCGCGATCGGCCACGGTTTCAGGGCATGAATAATACGCGCGTCGGGGGCTAGAATAATTTCACGTTGAATTCAAATCCGGGATCGATGAGGCCTACTCCCGCCGACGATCTAACCCAGTTTCGCCTGCGAGGCGTGTACGGGCCACGAGCGCTGCCGCGTATCGCGGCATATGGCCGAGTAGAGCCGCGGCGAGTCGATAAAAACGCAATTTTGCGCCACCGTTTGTTAGCATACCACCCCCAGACCGCGAGGAGAGCGCAACGCGGAGCGTGACGTGGAAAAGGCTGAACGAAACACGTTTCGCGTGCGACTCGAAGGCGGGAGAGGCAAATTCCGGCGATTGACCGCGGGCTACTGGCTGCGACTTTCCTCCCTCGATCATCGAGTAGTTATATAATTGTAACCATTGTATATTGTTTCTTAAATATCATTTTCCGACGTGGCCATCGAGTTTTGAATCCGCATCTATTATCCGCGTGACATTCACGAAGAGAAATATGAAGATGTAATATCCATAGGAAATTCCACATAAACGTTTCCGGTGAGCCGCGAGGAAATCGCCGATGGTTCCTCACTGAGGGCAGACACGCACCACGTGAGATATCACAGGACGACGTCGGCATTGCTCCATTGTTCACTCACCTCCCCGTGCGTAACGACCCCCGCACGAAAAGTCGACGCTTTCTATGAGGGTGCGCGGCGCGCAGGAATCGCGCGGATGATTAACGAGCGCATCGCGTGAAAGAGCGCCGCGCCGACGAATGCGGCAGGGGCTCGCATGCCGCCTTCGAAAGAAACGTGATCCCGACACGCGCGTGTGTCCCACCCCCACCCCCCTCCCCCGCCACACGGATTAATCAGGAGGATCGAACGGTCCACGTTGTCAATGTCCGGCGGACGAGGAGATCGGCGGGGCCTCCAGACGACGATGGACACGTTGCCTCGGACTCATCGGTGTGACGCAGGATGCACGCGGGATGCGACGCGCGAACTGCGGAAGATTCACGTAGGGATGGAAAAAGAAAAAGGGATAGTATACACAATCGCGCGCGACACTCGGCGCGTACGCGGGTAAGCGGGCGGGCGAGAGCGAGCGGAGATACGTGCGATTACGCGCGTGAATGCGCACGGGGTGCGTATGGGGTGCGTGTCCCGCGTGATAAGAGCGCGTGATCCGCCCCACGACCTTCGGCCGACGAAGGTTCGTCGAAGACTGGTCGGCCGCAGGGTGGGAGGCTCTTTTTCAAAGGCGGCGTTTTCTCGACGACGGCGTCGTCAGCGTCAGCAGCGACGGCGGTGGCGGCGGCGGCGGTGGCGGCGGCGGCGGCGATGGCGGCGGCGGCGGCGGTGGTGGCGGCGGCGGTGGTGGTGGTGACGGCGGCGGCGGTGGTGGTGGCGGCAGCGGCGGAGCTTCCGGATGGAAGGTAACGGGCATGCGTGTGACGGATGGCACGATCGGCACCGCACGACCGTGCACAGGGTGTGCCGGGGAGAAACGCGTGATCCGGAAATGATAGCTTGCGGTCGCTAGCCCGCTTTGAACGCGTATGCGCGTGACGATGACTCTCGCGCGTTTCTCTCGCCCGAGTATGCGGTTCATGACGGTGATGTAGATTAGGCTACCTGTGAAGCTTTGATTCTCCTACTCGCTCTCTGTCTCTGTTTCCCTCTCCCTCTCTCTCTCTCTCTCTCTCGTCTCTCTCGGTCTCGTCTCTCGTCCTGGTCTCTCTCTACTCGTCTCGTTACCGTCTCGTCTCGTCGTCGTCGTCGTCTCTCTCGTCTCTCTCTCTCTCTCTCTCTCTCTCTCTCTCTCTCTCTCTCTCTCTCTCTCTCTCTCTCTCTCTCTCTCTAAGAGCAATCAGGGAATCGTGTTTCCTTCTCCCCGAGCTAAAAGGGGATCGCATTTCGCCGGTAGACTCATGCATTAACAGCGAATTTCCGCAGAGATTTGCAAACTCGATAACGGTGTGTTATTATAGCGGTAAAAAGCTGTAATTGTGATACGAACGTATCTCTGACTTTCTGCTGCGATACAGTTCAAATGAACGTGGAGATGTAAAATGTTTTACGCAATAACGAAAAATATTCTTGACTTAAAAAAAAAAGAGTACATTCCTTGCATTCGGTTCTACTGCGAAATATCGGTTCGATCGCACTGCGGTAAAGCGAAGTTATTGGATCACCTGATATCTCGCTCACTCACGGATCATCCCTATTTTCCGTTTTTTCAAACCCTTTATCACGGTACAATCTTTTTACTGACGACTAGCAAATGCTTTTTGACATTTGATAAGACTTACTATCTGATTGCCCTAGCACTTATACATATGTATGTACATCAACTCAAGACTTCCACATTCGGATACTTGACGTCACTAAGGTGAGAATATCTATCAAATTTCGAATCGTCCTGTCTCTTGATAAACGCAAAAGGAATATGTAACTGCTTTTATTAAAGTAAATATACAAAATAACGATAATTGAACGGCGCATAAAATTATTAGTTTGCAAGCCTATTTATATCTAAAGACATGCAGCAAAAACATTGATAAAAATAGGAGATAATTTTAACTCACCAGCCCGCGATACCATTTGGTTGTATCTCTTGTAGAAATATTCCAAGCTCGCCCTTATCTTTGTTACGAAGTCCAACCACGCTGAATCCCAAACTGGTACCTTCTGGTTTATACAACTAAAACAAAATAAAATCATCCTGATTAGTAGAATACTTTGATAACATATATTACATACTTTTATTGTAATCTTTTTTCTTCACAAAAAATACAAAAAATGTTTTACAAAGTACAGAGAGATTCTTGTAAAGATATCCTCCTATAAAAAAAGTTTTATGTCTTACAAGGAGTATAGAAATTTACCTGCACTGTAAATATTTGTCGTCCTCGTGCTGCAGCTTCAATGACTTTTTTAAACTCCTTTGCATAAGTAGGAGTAGTTATAGGCGGCATTCCCATAACTTCTGAAACAAGACTGGGGCTAGTAACCTGAAACAAAATAATAATAAATATACAGTAAATATACAAATTGATCCTCGTAAAGTACGATATGGAATATGATAATACAAAATTACCTGTGCGCTTGTGTCCTCGCTGCTGCTATGCAATAATGGAGCAACGGGAACTCTCTGATCTTCGAGTTCGCTGCTATCTTGATACAGATCTTGATACATGTTTGGTCCAAGAGATTGCACTGGAGTACTCGGAACAGAAAGCTCCAACTGTCCGCTGATATTAATGTCAAAATCACCAGGTAAGATAGATGGGTGATGTGTCAATTGTGTATTCAATTCGATTAAGGAATCCTGAATGGTGACTATGCTGCGAAATACCGGATCCTCCAACAAGGAAATTAGTGACTTCAGATCCTGTGACGTATGCATCTGTAGCTTAGGATCATCGCAGTCTTCCACCCGTTCCTGCACGTGCTCCAGCAAGTGGAGCGCTGTAGATATATCTGCAACAAGTAACATAATAAAATAATGATTTAACTGAGAAATGAGAAATCAATGAAACTACATAAATCATATTTTTAAAAATTTTTATAATTTAGAATAATTAAAATAAAAATGTAATTAGTGTAACATTCATATTTACCTGCACTGAGCGGCATGGTGGCCTCCTTTGATCTCTGGCTAATATTCAAGTGTGTGCAAATTCCTCTCGCACCCAACTAAAACACGAGAGAGATGATTTCCCTTGAGTATGACAGGTGCGAAAGTATCAAAATCAATCCGCTTGAAACATCAAACACGTCGCGCAAACGAAACATTTTCTTAACCTCAAATATCACAGACGTGAATCGCTCGCGACTTGAAAACGATAAATTTTTCGAGGGACAGCACGATGAAGTGATTAAATGTCATTAAGTATAACATCGTTGGATTCGGAACGTCGCGGAATCGATCTGCGGTTGAGAGAGCGGAATGTCTTTGAAATTCCTGACTACTTACCTCGATTCGCGCGAGAGGAGAGAACGCGCGCTTCCTTCAACGAAAGCGATCCTTACGACTTTACGCGATTACGGAACGATCGCATTACAGTCCGCGAACAACGGGCGATTGCATCCTGGCGTCAGCTGACTTGACCAATCTATATATCTCACGATATCGAGCTCCTTCCCCGACGTGTACGCAAAGAGGATACGGAGCGGAGCACGCATTCCGAGCAGTCGGCGATCACGTGGTCCAGCGCCGCCATTTTCAAATAGCGTTCGAACGCGCGTAAAACTGGGCGAAAGGATTCACGTTAGGTTTATAATAAAACTTTATCGAGTATAATGATGTAAACATAGAAAATGGAATTGAGCTCTACAATTTTACATATTATAATACATATTATGATACATATTATGATTACGTATATATATATATATATATATATATATAGTAGGTATTTCAACATTATCAGATTTTCTTAGACTAACAGATCTGCGTAACATACAGTTCTGAGACGAAAAATTTTTTTAAATCTGCGAAGATATCGATGTGTTATCATTGTTTTACAAAGTGAAAAAAAACCGCTTGAAATCGAAATGAATTAATAAATATAAACAGGTTAATAAGAGTTAAGTGGTTTTTATATAATGTGTTACGTTTAATAAAAGTTACGTTTAATAAAAGTAAGAAAATCAATACGTAAAAGATTTTAAATATTTGATTTTATCAATGTAGATTAATCTTTTTATTCTTTATTTTTTTTTTCTAATTCTTAGAATTAAAAAAGATAAAAAATAAATTAAATTGAGATTAATTCTAAATTGATAAAAATATACATTATCATGTAAAGATATAAATTTGCAAGATGATTTTGTTTACGTTTTTGTCACTTATATTTTGAATGAATTGATTTACATTTGCATATGCAAATTAAACAGAAAATATATATATGTTTGTCACAACAATCAAAGTATCGACGAAATTGTTTTACTTCACTTCATTAATTTGCTTAATATAATGATGATATTTTGTTTTATTTATATTACGATATTATAAACATTATAATGTTATTATAATATTAATTGAACTGTAAAGAATATAAAATTAGTATAATAATTACAAACGTTTACATGAGAAATCTACTGGAAAATAGCGCTCTCGTAATGAACGCGTTCGAGCATATTCTTTAATTATCGATGAAATAATATTTACATGAAAATTTCTCTCAAAATAATTAATTTCTAAAAATGAATTTTAATTCTAATTTTATTTTTTTTATTAATATATTTTCATAAAAGTTTTTTATTAAAAATACATATCATAAATTTAAAAACACATATCATAAAATTTATTCCCTATTTCTTCATTCCTAACATATTTAAGATATCAATTTTTTAATATCCATCTCTTATTTTTAATTTCATATTTGTAATAAAATTATAATTTCACGTTGCTGAAAACTCTCTTTTGCAGTTAATATTTAATGGCTTCTATGACACAATGACAAAAAAAACGAGTTGTCATGTCTACAGCTATCTTCAAATAACTGTTACTCTTATTATATAAAGAATATCAAGCAAAAACATATTATCAGACACTCTAACAGAGAGATTTATTGCGTTCCTTTATCTTCCCACCTCCCTCTATATTTCAAACTCCGCGGAAGCGTCGTTATTTGCTGTCTCAAGAGAAAAAGATATCTCTTAAGTATAATGCTCTTTGTGGAGACGCAAGAAAAGACGTCCCATGAAGAAAGGGAAGGAAAAGATCGCAAGATCATTATCATCACCATAATTTACAAGGAGCTGACATATACCGTTGTTACCAATTTTCATCTTATATATTAATTCATTATAAAATATTTATTTCGTAAGTGCATCTTTTTCAGAAAGAGAGACAAATAGACAGACAGAGACAGAAAGAGAGAGATAGAGAGAAGAATATGAGATAAAATATTTATATCAAAAGAAACAAAGTTTTTTTTTTTATTTTTATACGATTATTTAAGAATTTATTTAATATATATGTAATAATATGTATTAAAGTTTTTGACCCCATCTGAAAAATACTTTAAAATCACAAATATAATTTAAATACCTTTTTTAATACTTATGGACATACACATCTTAAAGCAATTCAAATTAAAATAATCAAGATAAGAAAAGTCAATCTTTTTCATCTTTTTCATCCGCGTTTTTTAAATTACATTTGCTTTTTTCGTTGTGATTACATGTAATTCAAAATTATAATTTTAAATTAGCATACGTACCTCCTAAACAATGAAAAATAATAATAAGACAAATTAGATTCCCGAGAACTATTCTCTTGGTACAAAATATCTTTGTGAATAAGGAACGCAATTCTCGATGCTGGTCTAAAATAATAAACAAAAGGTTACAGACCCCCTGTATTAGGATGCCCGATCACCCCGCGCTTTATCCAGTCGATCGTTGAGCGGCTCGTTGCCTCCCGTCGACGATGACGGTGCGATCTCGTCCTGGTTGACCTCGGCCGGGAGTCTCTAATCCATGATTCCGCCGTGAGTCGGCCTCGATGACGAGAACCTATGCTGCTGGATACGACAAATTGCTCCGTGTCTCTCGTCGGGGTCTCCTTCCCCTCCCCTTCCCACCCCTCCTCGCACTCCACGCGATCGCGCGTCGCCTGTTTTCCCGGATGGCCCCACGGAAACCGGACACACAATGGGTCCACTTCCGCTGCGTGCAAGGCCAGAGAAGTCGGACGTGGGGATCCCATCTGTCCGCGCCCCCGCGCGCGCGTTTTCCGCGCTCTTTGCCCTCCACCGGGCCCCCAACGGCCTGTAAACGTACGACCACTCGTCGGGGGAATGCACGATCTGCCGTTCTCTCTCCACTTCCCCAGGTGTACAAGTGTCCATTATTTCCACGCTTCCCGCCGATTTCGACCGTCAGTTTGATTACGGGTGCCATTCGCGCCGCACGCGTGATTTCGGCGTACACTCTCACGCCTTCTTTTCGCGCGACAGCGGCGGACAGCACGAGAGATCCCTCGAGATCACTTCGCAGGATCGTATCGAGATCACATCGCAGCATCGGCGTCCGCGACGTTTCCCTCCGCTTCCTTTCGGCAGCCGCGATCGCTTGCGAGGAAAGAGCGGGGAGGAAAACGGGGAGATCCGTCTCCTCCGGGTAAGAGATTTTTTTTCTTTCCCTCCGTTGATAAAATTCCTTCGCATAATTTGACAATTTTTCAGATTTTCACGTTGACTGATATTATTAAATCGGATGAGTAATAACATCAGTCTGCTCAACTTCAATTATAATTTCATAACTCTTTCTTTAAGGGTATGCCACGAGCGGACGATTGAATCACGCACCTGTAAGGGCGAATTTATTTCATCCACTCGTGTGGCCCTTGTATTCCATTTTCCTCGAGAAGATTTATCGCACTGATAAACCGCTTGAAAAATTCATTTCATAATAAGAAAATACAAAAACTTCTCGTACACGCTTATGATGGATTCTTTAATAAACACGTGATGATTATTATTTTTCCCATATTCAACAATGAAAGGAAAAAAATGGACAATAATAAGGCTAATGAGAATCAGCGCTGTAAACAGTGCATTATTATATTTTTATCACTGAAGATAGACTTCGAATCGAACCGTTTGCTACTTTTTATTAATAAACATAATTAAAATTAAACATATAATTACGCACTGTTTACAACGCTGATTTTCATTAATCTTATTATTATCCATTATCATATCGATAATCTTTATTCTTATTAATATTGAAAAGAAACAAATATTTTTCACGTAACATCACGCACACGATTATATCATATAAACCCATATAAGGAATGATGAGTAATGATAAAGTATGAGGAATGATAAAGTAACAAAGCTCGCATGACTACAACTATTCGAAATCTTAATTAATTATTCCAATGATATATCGCGTGGCGATTAACGCGTTGGAGCGTTAGTACGCGTTCGTTTGTATTGCCCGTAATCATGATAATTGGACTCGGAAGATCGTTACGCAATTGTAAGATATACGAGTATTGTGATACTGATTTCCCGCGATCTTCCACGCAATCACACCCGATTGGTAATAACGTTCGAGTGAAATATCAGCTCGGATATATTCGTAGACGCACAGTCGCGTCGTGCCCGAACTTAACTCGACGGAATCAGCATTAGCAGATAATAATTTGTCGTTGCGTGCGAAAGTTCCATTAACATGAACGTCACACAACAATGACCGAATTCATTCCCGGTTCGACACGAGTACGCACGCAACAATGCCATCCCGCGTACCGATGGAGTTCAAAGCACCATGACAATAAGCAGCCCCCGCGCTGGAAGCTCACAATGAAAAGCAACTACAGAAAGCAAGCTTTCAAATGGCTGATGTGCCTCCCAAAGCACCAACTGCGAATCGTCAACAACGCCCAAACTAAGCTCTTATTTATTTGTCATAACTCGCACGGGAAAAAAAAATACCATTGTTGAGCATAGTTTTAACAATCCTTTAATAACTGCAGTCAAATATTTTCATTCTCCGCTTCTTCCCCACTTATTGTTTATCAACGATATTAATAGCGGTTTTTTCGCAGTTTTGCAAATAAATCTAAAAATCCGCGTACAAATTAATATTCCGCAACAGTCGATTTATAACGGTAGTGAAAATTAAAAAAAGCACTTTAACGCGGACTATTAATTATACCTTTAATGTCTCCTTTTTATATTTATCTGCATCATTTTTAATCTGGTGGCCTTCGCTTCTGTCTGACGCGAGTGTTTAATTACCTTAATCCAAGTAATTTCCCGAAATAATTTGCATACGACGAGCGGCACGTCATAAATCCGGCAAACCGACGAGGACAATTGCAGAAATGTAATTTCGCCCGGCGTAATGTTAACGCGAATTATGACGAACGGGAGCCATAATTTTCTCTCCCGACCGATGATATTAACATCAGAATAAGCTTTTATACCGCGTTGTTGGTGACAGACGCAATTATCGAGGCGATAAACCATAACGCGATTAATAAGCAACGTCTCTGCACGATGGACATCAACGGGGCAGAACCGGTAGACGAGCCATAATAATTGGCATTCGTCACGAACAAGTACGCTCGTGCATCAACGAGTAAACATAAATTACCCCGACAATAAAATCCTCTTTGATACGATACGTTGTCAATATCATATCAAACATCCTATCGTGGCATCGCTATAGAAACTCGTCAGAATTGATTGTAATTTTATACGCAATTTTATAACAGAAATATTATCATCATAGTTAATATCATACTATACAATGTATTTTTCTTTAAGGAAGAGAATTTCCTATTATTTCCTATTTAAATTTATCTGTTTATTTGACATTGAACATAATTTATTAGACTAAAAAATATCAAATAAATAATTTTCATTGCGCGTTGCCACAATTTATTCTCACGTAGATAATTCATATTAAAATACAGCGAAAAAAGTTGCTATAAAAATGTTTACCATTATTTTTAATAATAAAACGTTTAAAAATATAAAATTAGCTTGGAAGATGTGTCACGCATTAAATATATGTGAGATTCTTCTTGTTACGGGAAATT